ATATATACAAATTAGGAAATAAGGCGAACCTAGATGACTTGGTGTTTGGGAATACAAGAATGCATTAATATCCTTTATTTTTAGTTCCGGTCCTTTTTAGAACCTTGATCTTATGGTCAGCTTCAGCTTCATTCAGCTGGGTTATATATATATATAAGATCATTATCTTATATCTTATCCATGGATGTATGAGCCTATGCCCCTTAATAATACACCACCGCCCGGAAACATGGACTATCAGTGAAAGCCTTTTTTTATTTTTTATCTTTCAGTGGGGGTTTCTCTATTACCGAAAGAGATTCCCACTTGTCCAGGGCTAAATCCAAAAGAAAACTTATCGACTTTCTCCAAATCTCTCCCCAAAGAGAATAAAATCAGAATAAAATCAAATTTCATTTTTCTTGGGGAAAATCCGAACGGGTTCAAATCCATCCCGCAAACTCCCTTAGCTCATCAAGAAATCCTCTCTTTTTTTTCTTCCAACTTCCCAATTTTACCCCCTCCCCACTTCTCGCTCCCCATTTTCCGACTTTCTTGAATGGAAACACAATGGCTGCGCAGAGTGGACCCGTGTTGCACGGCGACGACATGAAGAAAATGAAGTGAGTCAACTTCTTAGGTCTTTTCGTTCTTTTTTTGGCTTGAGCATTCCTCTTGAAAGGCGGGGCTGAAGAGGGAAAAAGAGGGTCCACGATCCCCTCACACCGCATTGCATTACGGTCTGTTCTTGTTAGGGTTAACCTGCATGAAACATTGCGTTTCAAGGATGACTCTCTCTCAAAGCGTGTCTCGTCTTTCATCTCGGACCTTGTCGGAATTTGCCTACAAGCTTAGAATTGAAGATCCTATCGGAGCTATCATTGCGTTGGCTAACCTTCCATCTCAATAGCTCTGGACTGGAGGACGATACCCAAGATCAGATCAGGTCGAATGGTTCTACCCCGACGCCGACTGGAATCGCAACACCTGAACCCGATCCGGCCGATAAGCGTCTGCCTTCCATTATGCACAACTACTTCCAGGTTGGTTCTTTCTCCGGTGATAAAGCGAGTCTGCCGCGGTTATGGTCATGTCTGTCGAAACCCTCTGAGGACCTTCAATCAAATGCGCATACCCAACACTCCTCCAATTCCTCCGAATCTTTTGTCATGATGGAGCAAGAAGATGGGTCTGACAAGATGGAGGAACACCCCACTCTGCACACCCCTCCACATTCCTTGTTACAGCATGAGTCGGATGAGATGGAACTCGGGACGAGCCCAGGAGTGTCCTCTATCTTTACAACGCTGAAGAATTACCTCATTTCACCCACACAAACTCCTCCAGAAGACCCTCCTTCCCGCCGTCAAACCTCCCTCCCAGTCTCCAGCATCTCTGACGACCCCGTTCTTGCCACACATTTTTCCAACCCATCCCTCCCTCCTGTCTCAGATACCTTTCCCTTGTCTGAAGCCCTCCTCGACCATGAGAAACCGCATGTCTCAATATCTTCCGAGAACCTAGCCAAGCTAACTGAAAACGCGCCCGATGGGTCGCGTCTTAAGAATACCCCACCTCTTACTCCCCGGGCCATGTCCAACGAGGTCCCGACCGCCCAGGAAAAAACCGCCACTTCCGCTCAAGAGACCCCGCAAGAGACTCCACAGTCCGAGTCAAAGCCGGAAGACCTGGAAAGCTCCACGGACGAGATTACTATGAAACTCGATGAAGCATTCCCACCCCAGTCTGAGACTGTGCCTGCAGCTACAAAGTCAACATCCCCGGCCAACGGCGCGCCCACAGGCCCGATCAATGGTAAATTGTTTGTGAAGATCACTGATGGTCGAGGACTCCGGCCAAGTTTCGATCCGTATGTGGTGTGTGTATTCGAATGGAATGAGTATATCTCCAAAGGCGCTCGTGACGGCGAGGAGGAAAAGAAACGGCGCCAGCTGGAATCAGATGTCGAGGAGGCTGCTGGTCGGCCCATGGCCATTCCATTGAAAACCCGATCCAGCTCTCACAACAGTGCTATCGAGGGTGATCACATGGGGCGGACACCCGTGACAGACCCGCACTGGGATCATGAGGCCACCTTGTATGTTACCCCAATCCAGCTCCCTCACTTGGGTCACACACTAACACATTTTGTTAAGTGATGTTATGGGAGATCAGTCGGAACTTGATGTCACCGTCTATGACCGCAACAACCAGGAAGCTTTCTTGGGTCACGTACGCCTCCGCATCAACCTCAAGGAAGATCACAGCCGACTAGAAGGATGGTTCCCTTTGGTCGCGCGCGGTGCCGGCGACAACCAAGTGTCTGGAGAAATTCACCTCGATATGAAGTTCGAAAAGACAGACCGAAAGCAGGTCGGACCGAATGACTTCCTCGTCCTCAAACTTATCGGCAAAGGAACTTTCGGACAGGTCTATCAGGTCAAGAAGAAGGACACACAGCGTATCTATGCGATGAAGGTTCTCTCGAAGAAGGTCATCATTCAGAAGAAGGAGGTGATACACACGCTCGGAGAGCGCAATATCTTAGTACGAACCGCGATGACAGCCTCTCCGTTTATTGTTGGATTGAAGTTCTCCTTCCAAACCCCGACAGATCTCTATCTAGTTACGGATTACATGTCAGGCGGCGAATTGTTCTGGCACTTACAGCGTGAGGGTCGGTTCCAGGAGGCCCGGGCGAAGTTCTACATTGCCGAGTTGATTCTGGCTCTGCAACATCTGCACGACCACGACATCGTATATCGGGATCTCAAACCGGAGAATATCCTGCTGGATGCCAACGGCCACATTGCGCTCTGTGATTTCGGTTTATCCAAGGCAAACCTGTCACAAAACGACACTACTAATACCTTCTGTGGTACCACTGAATATTTGGCCCCAGAGGTATTGCTCGACGAGCAAGGATATACAAAGATGGTCGACTTCTGGTCCCTGGGTGTCTTGGTCTTTGAGATGTGCTGTGGTTGGAGCCCGTTCTACGCCGAGGACACTCAGCAGATGTATAAGAATATCGCATTCGGCAAAGTCCGATTCCCCCGTGATGCGCTTAGCACTGAGGGAAGAAATTTCGTCAAGGGTCTGCTGAACCGGAATCCCAAGCATCGACTGGGCGCCAATGGTGATGCTAAGGAGCTTATGGCACACCCATTCTTCCACGACATCAACTGGGACACACTCTGCCGCAAGGAAGTGATTCCTCCGTTCAAGCCGCAGCTGCAGTCTGAAACCGACACCTCGAACTTCGATCCGGAATTCACAAACGCTATGGAGCTGAATAACTCGCTCAATCTCCGCGCCGCAAACCTTGCCAACGGCCTCATGCCAGCCTCGACACCCTTGTCCCCCGGGATGCAAGCCAATTTCAAGGGCTTCACCTTCGTGAATGAGAGCTCTATCGACCACCACCTGATGGACGAAAGCGATCATATGGAAGAGGACGCCATGCACAATCATCACTGGCAGCAAGGCCATCGGTCGGGCAACTCGGTCGACCAGCGTATGACAGGCGTCCAGAAGACGCACGACGGCACAGAACCCGGGATTTTCAACGTTGACGACACCTTTGACATGTGATTACGTTTTCCTTTTTCTCCTACTGCATGATCATGGAGTCTTGATCTGGCATACATTATGATTTCTTGTCTTGTCTTGTACATGCCTTCGGATTGCATCACTTCCAACCCGCAAATATGGGTTTCTGTTTCCATTCTCATCTTCCTTTGCGTTGTTTCTGATCCCCGTTTCCTCATTCTGGTGTTTCTGCGGATTTTGCCCCCACTTCCTTTCCTTTATCCTTTCAGTCTGTTTCCTGTTCTGCCGAGCGCCGGGTTGAGACGGTGACCATTCTGCGATCGTGGACCACTCCTGGTACTAATCTTGAGTCTCACTACTCTTTATGGTCACAACCCTCTCGTTCGTTTCGTCAGCCAGTTCCCGGTCACATACCCCCTTCCCCCGGGGCTTCGGTCTGTTTCTTCACGTTCCGTTTCAGAGGAAACCCCGGGGGATTCTTGCGTGTTTGGTGGAGTTGGGTTTGGGTAATTTTCATTGTGCACCTTTATTGTCAGTCATCATGTTCTGGGGCAATTAGTCAAAGCGATCTATTTGTCTTTGTCTTCTATCTTGTCTCCGGCACAGTGTCGATAACTTTATTCTCTTATCTGGGATTGATCTCCTGAATTCTGATACCTGCTCTTTCCTCCTGACTCTTTTCCTCAGTCTTCTCTCCTGCTTCTACCTTTGCTTCTTCTCTTCGCGGAGTTTCCTGTTCCAACACGGTACGGTGGTAATTTGAGGGATCTTTCCTCGCCGTTTTTTTCTTTCTTTGCATATCCAGGTTTGATTGAAGCTACCCAGATTCGAGGACAACTGAGTAGTAGCAGAAGGTTTCATTCCAGTTTCAATTCTCATGGCGTTAAGACTGGCGACTGGTATCAGCATCTCATGGGGCTCCTGGGTCTGCATTTTCATGGGGAAGGACGGATATGCTGTTCTAGTCGAATGTCAGATTCTTCCATACACTCCACTTATAATTTCGATGGAATTCTTTGCTACTTCCGAGGCTCTCTTAGTAAAGATGTCCCCCGTAACATGTCATGTCCTACCTTGTCTGGGTTTCCAGGTTCCTCAAGCCCGATCCTTTTTGTACTAGGAACATACAATAAGCATATGTCTACATGGGGACTGTCAACCAATAACATCACTAACTACATATGTGCGTGATTCCTCCTACCCGTGGACCATCCTCTGTTATCTATCTGTTCATGCAGTCTTAGGGTTGGGTCTAGAACAAGTTTTGTGGGACCTACTTTCTCTTTTAAGAAAACGTTTCCTCAAACTACGCTCCTTCCTAATTCTGTTACTTCCTAGTTGCCTCCTTCCATTTGAGAACTACCTAGGTACCCCGTGTAGATAAGATGGAAGGCACAACCGAGAAAATAAACTATAAACCCCCCCTCCCCAAACACAATCCTCCACCTATACTCTTATCCAAAGCCAAAATGACTCAAAGACCAAAACCAACAATACTCCCCTCATCCTATACGCAAACAACATCCCCAGAAACTTTCCCAACTCCAACCCACGGCGATGTATCATGGCACACCCTAATCTCGTCCCCGCAAACAGAGTCCACAGACCTCTGCGCAGGAATTGCAATCTGTCCCCCAAACACAGGTCACCTATGCGCGCACCGCCACACGCAGGCTGAGTTATATCATATCCTCGCCGGCGAGGGCGATGTGACCATCGATGGGGTTACGAGTAGAGTCCGGGCGGGGAGCACAGTTTTTATTCCTTCAGATGCTGAGCATGGGATTGTGAACACTGGGACTGTGGACTTGAGGTGGTTCTATGTTTTCCCCACCGGGAGTTTCGGGGATATTGTTTATCGGTTTAAGGAAGATGGGAAGGATGGGGGGGAAGGGAAGGGGACAGAGAAGGCGAAGTTGTAAGGGTGAGGGTGTGAGAGTACGTTTATGGCCGATGCTAGATATATACCTTAAGTATATACAACACTAGGCAATTAAGCATTCAAGCATCCGGTTCCTAACCACTCCTTTCATACATGTAACCTTCCATGTCCTTACCAGGTATCAGGGCCTCCCGGGCTTACATTGCGGCCATGTTGGCTAAGCCGAAGCCAGGACTCAACAAGAAAATGATGCTGTAACTTCTTTAAGGGAAATAATTATGATGCCATGTTGACTGCTAGAATGTTGGTGGCTGATTTTAGTGGTTGTAGTCTCTTTTTACCTTTGATGGCCGACCATAAGGTGGTAGGCAAAAGGCAAAAGGCCAAATGGCATCATGTCAGTTCCATCCATCCTTCTGTCATCTTGCTCTTGATCTCGAGAGTTTGATTGAGACTGAGCAGACGATTTCAGGAAGTAAAGAAGGAAGTGAATTATTGGGGGAAAAAAGAAAACAAAACAAACAAGCGGGAATACTATGCATATAGAATCCACTGGGTCATACCACGATGCTACTGTCTTTTTATAGAAACACGCCAATTCCAACGTAATTTGTGAACACTACCTAGGTACTATGTGTAGTATATAGTGTCAAAAAGCTCAGTATTACATTAAGTATATATATCCCTTTAGAGAGATTCTATTCCAATGGCAATGCAATCTCAACCACAGCAGCGTCTTTAAAGATCTTAACACCTGTTTAGAACATAATACAAAATCTTCTGACTCAAAACAGGGATAAAAACACTCACTAGGAATTTTAAAGATACCATTTTGCGTCGCTTCTTTGCCTCTTTTCATTTTGGCGGTCTTATTATCAAAGGCGACATTCAAGGGGGACATTACATTTATATCCACAACATCTATAGTCGGTGTCCTGGCACTCTGAGTAGTGAAACCCGTACAGGTTGCACAGTGCTCCTCCCTGTGTGTTAACGAAAGCGGCGGTCATCTCGCCTATATTTCATTTCGAACTGCCCTCAATGTTCGTCTTTGCACCAATACAGCCGGTAGTAACGTAGCATTGGTCACCTTCGAGGCTCCCCATCTCGTCGCTTACTTTACCTTCTAACGGCCTACTTAGCACTCCGAGAAGACTAGCAAGGGCTTTGGAATGAGACCTGTCTTGGTCAATGGCTCATATTATAACCCTCGAAACACTCTTCATCTCGCGTTTCTTCTCGAAGCTCTCCTCGTAATCCTATGTGATCCATTGGTTTATACCTACGACTCCATCGCGGTGGGGTAGGGGATCATCATTTGTTGTAATCCGATTCACAATTGGCCCAATGCATCCACAAGTCTCTTCTTTATAGGCTCTGCATGCAGGGCGTACCTGAAAAGTCACTAAACACCTTGCCTCGTATACCCCTAGCTCGGATCGGGCCGCCGCTAGAAACGGGAGATTACCCGTAGAATGCTACCACGGCAGTGGTAGTATTCCAACATCTCGATCAAGTCTCTTCTTTATAGACTCCGCATTAGGACCAAGCCACTAAACACCTTGCTTCGTATACTCCTAGCTCGGACCGTGCCGACGCTAAAAGCGGGAGATTACCCGTAGAATGCTACCAAGGCGGTGGTATTTTAACATCTGGGTCGAGTCTCCACCTGCATAACCCGCATAAGCGAGGGCGAGCCTGCCTTGGCAGTGGTTACAACCAACAGTTGATCAGTATTTGATCGTTGTTGGGCCAACAGGACCAGGAATTTTGACACTGAATGATAGAATGCAACATCAAGATACTACTTGCACTAATTCGCAACCCGAAGTATAGATCGTAAGTTCTTATTGCCATACCTCAGATCTATAACAGAGAAAACCCGGGAATCCAATTCGCTTCCAACGTTCATTCCGATCCAGCTGAATCCGTCTTATATGGACTAAATATGGATAATCTTTTTACATAAATATCAAAGTGGTTGCTTAAGTACTCCCCTAATTACACTGTCTCTGCTTTAGTATCGTTTGATCGTTTTGCGATTTAGCGCCTTCAGCATGGTTGGCAAGATGTACGCCGCCCTTTGGGGTCTGTTTGGGATTACGAGCGCCTTTACTACAGGAGCAAAGGTCCGAAGGGACGAGATACCTAAATTCCCGCACGACTCGCAAACTATTTCGTCTTGTTCGTGGTGGCATGATAATGATGGGTCAGTTCCCTGTAAGGATATACCGTCCAGTTGGGGCATTAGCTTGGAAGAGTTCCTGCGATGGGTAAGTTCATCTTACTATCTCAATGCGTGCCCGTGGCACTAACCTTCGTTTTGATTTGAACAGAACCCTTCTATAACATCGAGCTGCACCAATTTCCTCACTGGTCACTCCTACTGCGTCGAAGCGTCCGGAGCGACTTCCAGTACAGCCGCTTCCGATCCAGCAGCTTTGAGCGCAGCGGCCTCCAGCGCGGCAGCATCCAGTGCAGCAGCGTACAGTTCGGCGGTGTCCAGTATAGCAGCATCCAGCGCGGCAGCATCTAGTGCGGCGGCATCCAGTATAGCGGCGTCCAGCGCGGCGGCATCTAGTGCAGCAGCATCCAGTTTGGCGGCGTCCAGCGCGGCAGCGTCCAGCGCAGCGGCATCTAGTATATCGGCGTCCAGCGCAGCGGCATCCAGCGCGGCGGCATCAAGTATAGCGGCGTCCAGCGCAGCAGCCTACAGTTCGGCGGTGTCTAGTATAGCAGCATCTAGCTCGGCGGCATCTAGTGCGGCGGCATCCAGTATAGCAGCGTCCAGCGCGGCAGCGTACAGTTCGGCGGTGTCCAGTATAGCAGCATCTAGCGCGGCGGCTTCTAGTGCAGCAGCCTCCAGCGCAGCAGCGTCCAGTGCGGCAGCCTCTAGCGCGGCGGCTTCTAGCGCAGCAGCGTCCAGTGCGGCAGCATCCAAGGCAGCGGCGTCCAGTGCAGCGGCGGCGTCCAGTGCGGCAGCATCCAGCATATCAGCGTCTAGTGCAGCGGCATCAAGTGCAGCGGCGTCCAGCATAGCAGCGTCAAGTGCGGCGGCATCCAGTGCAGTGGCGTCCAGTATAGCAGCGTCTAGTGCGGCGGCATCCAGTGCAGCGGCATCTAGTATAGCAGCCTCTAGTGCAGCAGCCTCTAGCGCGGCGGCGTCCAGTGCAGCGTCATCTGGTATAGCGTCAGCCAGTGCGGCAGCATCCAGTGCAGCGTCATCCAGTATATCGGCATCCAGTGCGGCGGCGTCCAGTTCCGCGTCATCCAGTATATCGGCATCCAGTGCGGCGGCATCCAGTGCCGCATCAACCAGTATCTCGGCGTCCAGCGCGGCAGCGTCCAGTGCCGCGTCATCCAGTATCTCGGCGTCCAGTGCAGCTGCATCCAGTGCCGCGTCATCCAGTATATCGGCATCCAGTGCGGCGGCATCCAGTGCAGCAGCATCCAGTATAGCAGCGTCCAGTGTGGCGGCGTCTAGTGCAGCGGTGTCTAGTATAGCAGCGTCCAGTTCGGCGGCATACAGTGCAGCGGCGTCTAGTATAGCCGCCGCTAGTGCAGTGGCCTCAAACCCAGCGACTTCCACTCCAGCAGCTTCCACTTCATCCGATGAAGACGATCCGGACGACCCGGCTGGTCAAGCCAGTCCCGCTAGTACGGTGGCTTCCACCACAGCAACTGCCACGAATTATATCGCTACACCTACTCCAATCCGCGCTGGAATGGTCAACAACTGTGACGCCTTCCACCGAGTCACCAATGGCGATACATGTGGAAATATTGCTCACAGCAATAGGATTTCGCTCGCCCAATTCAACCAATACAACCCTGAGATCAAATACGACTGCTCCGGTCTCTACTTGGACTACTACGTCTGTGTATCCATCATCGGCGTCGATCCTCAACCTGCAATCACTACAGCAGGAAATGACATCGTGACTCCTACTCCCACGGATTCCAATCCGACGACAACAACCATGAGCAGAGGGGTGGCTACACCGACGCCGATACAATCCGGCATGGTTGGGACCTGTAACTCGTTCTATAGAGTTGGGGATAGAGACACTTGCGAGGCAGTCGCCAGGTCGGCTGGGATCACGTTGGATACTTTCTATAAGTGGAATCAAGGGGTGGGAAGTGGCTGCGAGTCCTTGTGGCTCCAATATTATGTTTGTATTGGAGTGATGTGATAATAGTTCTAGCCTCATAGATAGCAGAGAGTGAAAGATGATTGAAGACTTGAAGACCCTGTCTACTCTCCGCTTAAGATCATTAGAAACGGCCCCAGGATCGTAACTGATATTGACCTTGGAGTTATACCCGCACTCAAAGTCCAAAACCAGGCCTTTTGAGGACCACTGCTAACAGATCAAGATTTTGAGGGGTCTGGTGTTCTGGAACTCTCATACCAGAAAGGTATTACGACAAAGGTAATTTCCTCTAGAAAGAGCTAGCATTATACGCGCCTTTTTGCTAGTGGCATATGACCTGTATGGATAGCCCCAGATAATGCCTGAAGCTATTTACTCCGCCATATCAAGAATGAAGGCAGCAGGCGCCGACACAAACGACTCTGTTGAGCTAGCCAATCTGAGAGAGACGTCGAATTTTGATATGGGGAGCGTTCAAAGTAGGTTGCCTACTTTATTGTAACTGTAGAGGGCTAAAAACCCCATAGCCAGAAGCACGGAGTCAAAGTACTCGTCGTTTTATCCAAGGCATCCAAAGCGACGCAATTAGCAGCAATGGCCGGTAAGATCATTTTATCTCCCACATAGACGATACATTGATAATGGTCCGCGTCTCGATTGTACAACATAATGCAGGGACGCGGACAAGTGGACCTTCTATGGCTCATAAATGGAATTATAAATCCTAAGAACACCTCAAGAGTGGATTGAGATAGATATATATACCCGAGCGTTCCGCTTTTTGTTGTACATAGACATTGTACATTGTAACATGTCAAGGCAGGGGGGTGATATGGATGAACTATTTACCCAATACTATGAGCTGAGCCTTTTGCATGGAGTGAGTGACCCATTCGCCGATCTTGCTAAATTGATCTGGGAGATTGTTACGAGGAGTTTTGTCAACTGGAGCCAAGTGCTTTTTTTTAAGGTTTAATAATAGGTACATCTTCCAAGGTTAGATAATGTGATATTATAGGGATGGACAAGGTTGATGTTGTCAATAGTGATACATTCATTCTGTATGCATATGTCGATCCAATTAAATATGGCATGCAGTGACGTAGACAATGTATTATAAATAAATCTAAATGAAAAGTAAAAAGGGCTTGAGCCGCCTGATTGCCTATTTCATTGGCGTGCAGGATGATATGCGCTTGGGCCGTTATGAGTAGAAAGGGGATAAGCTGGGGGCATGAAGGTACGGAGTACTATAAAGTGAAACACCTCACTATACCCCTTATACTCTGTACTCTGTGCTATCAATCTCAACCACTCTAAAACCCAAGAGATACACATGTGCTAATAATATAACAAGTAATATAATCTGAACAAAAGCAAAGAGAAAAAGGAAAAGGAAAAGGGGTAAGACATGACTAATGACGCTAGTATCCACCAGGTTAAACCCATATAGGCGATAGTGTGATCAAGGCCACGAACCCTTTGGACACTCGGATGTTTTTGATATTCAACTTACACAGCATCCATGGATACTTACACATATTAAGGCCATTGCAAAGTATGTGCTGTTAGGATTCTAGGATATTAGGATATTAGAGAATATATATGTACAACTGTATCTACAATTCCATATTATAATATGACATTATTGATGTAGATATCCGATTGTACCGAATATCACAGTCCAACCCCTGAACCACCCCTTCCCACTTCCCGTCTCCGCTCTACACTGCACGGCTTACGGAGTACAGTACGGAGTATGATGGAGGTCCACGAGTTACCCTTCAACTCATTCCTGATGTGGGGAGATCGACTGACATTGTCTTTTTCTTTTTCTTTTTCTTGATTTCCAATGTCAGTTCCTACTTTTTGATCTCACTTTCAGGTATCCCTACTATTCTTACTCTTCTTCTTCTTCTTCTTCTTCTTCTTCCTCCTCACTTTGTCATTTCTTGATCAAGGTGCTCAATACAACGTTGAACGTGTATTCTGACTATAAAAACGGCTGGAACCTGCCGATCCACCTATATTACACGCCATTTCCGAACTTCCCCCTACATTCCAGAACCCTCCACCTCCCTATTGGGTATTGACTTTGCTTTTTCCTGTCTCGCGTCGTTTGTTCCGATGCTAGAGTAAATTCACAATGAGTGTTGTCGCCACTAGAACAGAAACCCCCGTGGTATCTTGCAATCCCATCCCCGAGAACCATGTCGACTATTCCGTTCATTCGAATGCTTCCCGAACTTCCTCGATATCTTCCTACAAAACCAACTATAGCGCCTCAACCGCGCCAACTACATATCCCCCATCCTCGCCATCTTCATCTTACCGTCAAGGGGACTCTGTCAATTCTCTGCCCAAGTTAACCGAACCAATTCAACGCCGATTACCACATGAGGTTTACGAAGTGATAATCCACCATTTAGAGGAGTTACACAAAGGGCAGCACCAGACAGGATGTACCACATGTTTTCAACGCGACTTACACGCGTTGGCCCTGACTTGTCGGTCGTGGGAAAAGGCCGTTAGAGGACGACTGTGAGTTTGAGTCCAGCCTCCCCTTGATTCAAAGTTGTCAAGAAAACTAGGATTGTGTGCTAATTGAACATGCTATACTAGATATCATAGTATACACATTGTCGGAAATGACTCCCCGGCCCAACTGAAGAAATACCGTCTGAAGAGAGGGAGTCGCCTGAAACTCCTGAGACGAACCCTCCGGGAACGAAAGTTGCTGGCCAATCTTGTGTATGAGCTGCGGGTGCCCCAATTAGATTTGCTCTTTACCACGACGAAACAAGGCGGGCAATGGGAAGAATATCGAGACTTAGTAGCGTCCGTGGTCATGGTGTGCCCGAATTTGGAGCGTCTGTTGGGCTTATCTGTCCCATATCACCATGAATTTGATCGTCTGACCCATGCGTTGTCGACCCGCAAAAAGCTCAAAGAGCACACATGGGTTTTAGGTGAGGCCGCACACACATCGGAGCTGTCCCCACGCGGCGACTCTTGCCCTGGCAGCCTGGGTCCCTCCCAAATGTTCGAGTTTCTGGATTATCACACCTCATGGACAAGTCTGGAGACACTGATGCTTTATGGCTTGAACGGAAATGGCGCGTTGGAGCCTAGCATCTCCCTGCGCATGTTCAATCTTCTTCCCTCATTGCGAAACCTTTGCATTACCTCCTTCAACAAAGACTCCTTTGACAATAGCACATTGATGTGTCTGCCACCATTGGAATCATTAAGATTGGAGAACCTGCCCGGGATTACAGATGCTGGTCTCTCGCAATACACGTCACGACCTGAATCGCTCTCCCTCAAGACGCTCGTCTTGGTCGAGCAGAACATCGAGTCGCTACTAGTCATTTCCAAAATCCTCGCGTCGCTACGACAACTCGAACGGTTCAAGATAGTTCAGACCGAAAAGTGCCCAACTTTGCCAGATGAACATATGATCTTCCAGCCTATCCTGGCCTCATCAACTCTAAAATATCTGCACTGGGATGTGGCATGCCCAGACCCAGGCACAGCTCTCACCCAACTTGATACCCTCCCGTTCCAGAAACCCATAAAACCCTCCAATACCCCCAACTTCCATCTTGCCCAAAGCATCATCTCCGCTGGTTTTCCTCAATTGGAAGCTCTCCGTGCACCCTGCGACGTGGAGCCCCCAGGCGCACTCCAGGCTGCCTGCCGACCTATATTAAAGGGCCAAGCCTTACTCCGACCAGACCGGTACAGCTTGCCTCGCAGCTCTCACGGTTCCGTGAACACTCGACCGCTCGCTCTGCCGGCGGGGAACAATCTGACCTCAGCCCGAATTCGTGCCCAGACGTTCATCGATATGGCCGCCAAGGACACTGAGGCTGGCATGCCGGTTTTGATCCAAGATTACTCGGACGCGTATGTGCCGGACAACGCGCGGCACTCCCAATTCGAGGAAGAGCCCGAGCAGGAAATGGACGACTACGGGATCTGGGCTGCCTGCGAGCGGTTTAAACACAAGGATAATGACCACCGCGGCCCTAAAACGGTCTACGAGTTCCGCATGCCAACCTTGATGGGCCGTAGTGGTTTCAGGGATCCTGCAACAGGCGCATCCATTCCTCACTTCATCCTCCGTCCTGATATCCCCGGCCAGGAGGCAGACGGTGGCTTGATTGGGTGGAAGCAACTGCTTGCCTCGAACCAGTCACTGTCATATGCTGCCGGAGTAGGCGTTAACTGCTTTGGCAGCGGAAGTCCTTCTATCCTAAGTCCCGAGGAGTCCATGTCGCCTGCATCCACCATTTCCAGGTTTGGCTGGGGAAGCTTGAGCGGGCGGTCTATGATGGGTACGTCTCCGACAACACCCACAACACCAATCACGCCTATGAGTAGTGTATTGGGCTCAGCCTTGCCTTGGGACAAGGACACCTGCACTGGAACCTGGAACCACAAAATGGGCCGGGACTGGTGGTTCCATATGGAGCGTGATCGTCCGGGCAACTCAGAGCTCGTTGACATTAACCAGCTTTTCTAAACCATCCCTTCTACCCCTCAATCCTTCCCCCCTCTCCTTCATTTCTTGTCTTTGTATACTCTACGCCATATACCCCACTGTTGTTTTATTCTCTTTTTTCATTTCATTTTGATCATCCATTTTGCTGGTTTATCTCGTTGTACAGTATCCATGATACACGCGCTGCTGTGTCCGATGGAGGTGATGTTGCATAATGATTCAATATGCTTTGGCGCGTGGCCATTCGAACTATCTTTCATTGTTGTATCATTGCGCATTGGTGGAAGGTTAATGTGCACTGGTCTTCTTTCTGTCTTATTCGAGTCGTGTATTCCCTATGTCATATTTGTGCAGCATTAATCA